TTTCAAATTAGAACTGTTGTTTCATCAAGGACTGAAATAAAGCTACACTCAAGATACTAAAAGCAACTGCTTAGGGCAAGAAGAAATTGAATGTCAATAGCCATTTACTGAACAGCTATTAAGTACCAGGTATTGTCCTAGGTCCTGTATATACATTATATGTAAACTAAATAAGGATTCCATTTAAAAAAAGAAAAGAGACAGAAGAAGTTCAGTAACTTGTCCAGTGTGTCTGAGCTAGTGTTTTGGTTACCTAGTGCCACTTTGACAGGAATATACACCACAAATGGGATGGCTTTAACAAACAGGAGTTTATTCTCTTATAATTTTGGAGGTTAGAAGTCCAAATTCCAGGTGCCAGGCTCTAGGGGCTGGGTGAAAGCCCCTTGACCTTGGGGTTCAGCTCTGCCTTTTGCTCCCAGCCCACTGAAGCTAGAGGCATGTCTTCAAGCAGCTGGCCGCTGAGACTGACAAACTCAAGGTCGACAAGTGAAAAGGCACAGTCCTGATACTACCAAACTACATAGCAGGCCATTAATTCAAGTGCAGAAAAAGTCCCAAGATTGGCAGGGCTTGGCAGGCTACTGAATGAAAACTCGGCTACATGCACAGTCCAAGAGTGCCATAAGCTGGAGACCTTCCTCAAAGCTGCTGCTTATTTATGGGAAGCAGACCACATCTCTAAAGCAGCTACTCAGCTGCTCCAGTAGATTCCACCATGGAGTTAATTGCCGATCTCACCATGGGGAATAACTTCATCTAGCTGTCCAGGCACTCAGTTAGGCCCAGCCAAGTTGACATATAAGCTTAACTACCACAGCTAGGATTTACACTCTGAACCATCAGGCTTCAGAGACTGTGTTACATACATCCTTTTTTAAAAATCACAACTCTGAACTTTGTTTTTAACTAAAAACTCTATCAAAAAAATTGAGCACCAAGATTTGTGTATAATTATTTATAAATTTTATCTGTACTACTTACAATGAAGTGTATTATGTATTTTGTAAAATATATCAGAGAAATTTTAAAGGCTCAGATTAAATCCTGATATATAATATTTTTTCATGTACCTCAAAATATTCTTTTATGCTGCTCATTTTGTGGAGAACAATATATAGTTCAGTGCATTTCTTAGCTCTTCCTACTAAAAAGAAACTTGACCTTTATACATTTGTATATTGAGAATGTGGCCTGCTCTCTGATTCTTCCAGCTTTTCAGGGACCTAACCCAAACTAATTGCCATTGTGTGGACTCAAACTCATAGCAACCCTAAAGGACAGACTAGAACTGTTCCATAGGGTTTCCAAGGCTGTAAATCTTTACAAAAGCACACAGCCACATCTTTATCTCATGGAGCAGCTAGTGGGTTCAAACTGCCAGCCTTTCAGTTAGCAGTCAAGATGCTTAACCACTGCACCACCAGAGTTCCTCCTGAGATCTGACAGGGCCCACTAAATAACACTCAGTTTTCTTGTACCAATTTGGAACCAGTTGATAATAGGCCACTGTGAGTCAGAGTCAGTGGCAACAGATTTTTGGGAGATAAGCAAGTTAAGTAGATTTTTAAAAGAACCTTATTGCCATCGAGTCCATTCTGACTCATAGTGACCCCCATTGAGTTTCTGAGGCAGTAAATCTTTATGGAAGTAGATTGCCCAGTCTTGCTTCCATGGAGTGGCTGGTGGGTTTGAACCACCAGCCTTCTGGTTAGCAGACAGATGCCTTAGGTACTGTGCTACCAGAGTTCCGTAGTTAAGCAGCTAGAGATCAAATATGAGATTTGTTGTTGACTTAGAGCTGACTTGGTTGATGTGAGGCACTCGGTGGCCTAGTGGTGAAAGCACTCTGTATTGTCCGCTAACCAAAACATTGGGAGTTCAAACCCACCAGCTGCTCCATGGGAAAAAGACAAGGCAGTCTCCTTCCATAAAGATGTACAGCCTTCAAAACCCCATGGGGCAGTTGTACTCTGTTGTATAGGGTTGCTATGAGTTGGAATTGACTTGATGGTCGTGGGTTTGGTTTAGTGGTTTTGGTTTATAAGGCTCCACATGTGTGATGACATTTTGCTTGCCTAGTGAAGCTTGTAATCAGACTTGCCTGCCCAGGCATGGACAGCACACGGAGACACACCCCAGTAACACAGAGTATGGAAAGAGAAGACCATAATCCTGTTTCCTATGGGCATCTGAGAGTTAGGAAGAGATGGGTCTGCGCATGTGGGGTTCTTCTCCTAAACTTGGCAGGGAAGTTGTTTCTCTTACTTGCCTATTTCTCTTTTCAGAATGAGTAGACTGGAGAAACAGTAATTGATATCCCTCCACATACAAACATGAAAAGCCCCCACCCCAAACTCTTTCGAAAACAATTTGAAGATAAAATCTTAGGCCTCTTTCTGTCTCAGTGGGTCTTGCACAGGGAGATGCTATGGATACACAAAAATGTATGAACTGTGGTCCTTGTCTTCAAGGTACTTACTGTCCAGTGAGGGAGACTAGCAAAATACAGATGATCTCCATACAAGGCTAGTGCTCAAGTCGTGTTCTTGAGTAAGGAGCCAAGGACCATAAGTTCCTGCTTATGTGGACTTCACATTTCTGTTCTTATATTGCTCAGTACAAACTTTTTTTTGCATCTCTCATTACATTGTACTTCTTTCTCTCTTTTTAATTCACCTTTCTCACTAGCCTGAGCTCTTTTAGAGCAGAGACCATGTCTCATTCCTAATGCCCAGTGCTTATGAAGTACTCAGTAAGCATTTACTGAACTGACATGAAGGAATAGAGGGCAGGTGAACTGTTGTGGTTTCACTTCTTTAAATGATGTTGTACTTAGACACACGAGAGATTCCTCCTGTGTCTAGCTTAGTTTGCCTCAGCACAGCCCTCAGATTCCTTCTAGATGATGATCCTTTGGTAAGTGAAAAGCACTTGTTATCTGGGAGTCTAGTTAAAGCTGACCTTCCTTGTTCCTTGGTTTCTGCCTGTCTAGGATGCTAGGACCCGTATTTTCTTGATATAACCCAGCGGCCTTCATCTGCAGATGGTTTGCTTTGTTGATGGTACCAAAGGTGTTCTCTGCAGGCTGAAATGTAAACTGGAACTTGGCAAAACTGTTAGATGGCACATTTCTCTAACATTGGATGGGAGTGACACATGGATGTGGTGACTCCCGGGGCCAGCTGTCCCCTGGTAAACTAGCCAAGTCCAAGCAGAAGGGAAACAGCTTTGCAATTCCCAGGGAATTTACCCTTCCCATTCTCCCTCCCCATCTGCTTAACACAGACACTAGAGGCATCATGGTGGCCCCTGCTCTCAGGGAGCTATGGCTTGTTCTTCCTCTCAAGTTCTGAAATCCAGTTACTGTGCTTGACTAAGGAATAGTGTCCATGTTACCAAAAAATAGAGGTGTTAACACATACCTGACTATAAACAAGGGCTTCTAATATTGAGGTTTAGTCCTGTATCTGATGTCACTTATCCAAGATAACCTTTTCAGGGCATTAGCTTCATGGTAGACAGATACTTCCCACCTTAGGGACCAATTAGTTTCATTTGCTTTGTCTCTGGAGAAATTGGAACGAGGCAGGCTGGGTTATTGCCACTTGGCAGTGGTTTAAGGCCACAGAGCCAGAACTGAGAAACCAGGTTTCAGTAAAGAGAGTTGGTAAGTACTTGTTGCTTTGGACCATCTAGAAAGCTTTGCTCCATTATTAAGAACAAAGTAAGATTAGGAAGACTCATCACCCAATTGGTAAGTTATCCCAGACCTTCCTTTTGCCCTATTTGAAAAATGTCTTAAGAATCCTTCATTATCCCTTTTCATTGGTTAATATCACTTACCACCAGGAAGTTCTACCTTATCTAACCTAGATCCCTTAGGCTGTTGCTTAAGCCAGTTCCCCGTGGGGCTAGAAGAGACATTTAAGCAGCAGCCTTATCTCCAAGAAAATATCCAGTAATCCTTAATTAAACGAGAGTAGAAATGTTGTAGTTATCATTAGCTGTCCCAAAATATGATTTTCAACACAGAAATTTAAGTATCTGTTCTTTCCAAAGCACTATGCCAGGTGTTCTCGTCTAGTGTTCTTTCATTAAACATTTAAGAATCTGATCTCTGTGTTAGATACTGAGCTGTGTATTTGAGATAAATAAATAAATCTCTGCTCCTAAGGTGCTCCTAGTTACCTGTCTATTCATTCAGTCATTCAAAAAATGCCAGCTGCCATGTTATCAAATTAACCTGGCCAAGATAAATCATGACATTTATCTTACTATGAACCATAGTGCTTGGAATTTTGGAAGCCTTCAATTAAAACATGTTAATTTAATATTTAGTTTGTAAGAAAGATTGATTGTCAAATGAAGATCTTTCATTTGAAATTTATATATTACATTTTTAGTGTTGCCGTTTGTTAAGTGCTTTCACATAAATTGCCCCATTTTTTTTATTATTACAGCCCTGTGAGGTAAGTATCATCCCCATTTTACCAGTGAAAAATCTGAAGTTCAGAAAAGTAAACTGTAGTCGCATAATCAGTAAATAAAACCATGGTTGAGTCCAAGTCATTAGCTTCTGGCCCAGTGTCCTTTCCACTATACGTATTAGAGTCACTTCATAGCTGGCAAACATAAAGGCGGGTTGAGGGATATGGAATAGATTTATTTTACTTGTAGCACAAGGTTACTTATTTATTTGTGGAGGTTGGGATGGAAGTTCATGTTAAGACCCACCTCATACTTTTCCTTGTCTGTAGAAGTCCTTTATCTTGGGAGTGTTTCATGAGGCCACTCCTTTGTAATAGGCATGCCGGTTCTTATTGTTAGTTTTATGGATACCTTTGGGCTTTGGGTTTTGTCTGTCTTCATTAAAGGCAAACCACTTTATTGCTCTGTTTCTTAGTGGCTATTAAATAAATCATGAGATTTATGAGTAATGTGTAACAATGGAGTGTGTTAATAATTGAGTGCCCTGAAATAGACTTTTGTTTTTGCAGCTTGCCAAGAATATTGGGAATGCAGGATTTAATGAGATTATGGAGTGTTGCCTACCAGCTGAGGACTCGGTCAAACCCAGTCCAGGCAGTGACATGTAAGTAAGAGACTGGCTGTTCTCTTTTTCTGAACAAAGATTTGCCTTTTACCTCACTCTTTTAGCAGTAGGGAAATAATAAGTGTTGGGAACATCAATTGTTGAATTCTTAGGGGAGCAAATCAGCATAAATTGCTCTCCTTATCTGTTGTTCTTTTTTTGCTTATACCCTAATCATTGTGTCTGTCCATCCAAGTGCCAGAACTTATTTTGTTTTTTAGGGGTTTCTGTTTGTTTAATTTTGGTTTTTTAGAATTTTGTTTTTAAAAAAACAGATTTGGTGGTAGAATTCTGAAGTTGAGAAGGAAACGAACATTGAATAGCTGTGATTAATGTTGCTGGGTCAGGCAGGCTTCAGAGGTTTTTATTAGTCTCTTTAATCTTTTGAGTGTCCAGATAGAAGTATAGTGTGGCTATACTACTTTTTTAGGAAGAGGCCAAAGGAAAGCAGATTTGGCAGCTGCTCTATATAAGTAAAGGTAGTGGTGTGTGTCTACACACAGGGCTTTTTGCCTCTGCTGTTTTTCCCTGTAATCACTTTCCTACCTTAATTCTTTTTATTTTAAGAGCTTGTTTTACATTCAAAGTCACACATACATTTAGTTTCATTCTCCATTCACCATGTCCAACCCTAACCCAGTCTCCTCCCCTCGCTACCCTGCAACATTCCCCCTGTGCCCCTCATAATTATGCACTCCTGTTTGTCCTGCATTTCCTCAGTTTGAATGTTGGTCCTTCAGTGTCCCGTGGTTTATTGCTTTAGGGGATGTGTTACCATTGAGTGTGTGGGTGCGGCATCCTGGGTTGAGTGGTCTGCGTGTACATCTCGCTAACCATTGGGCTGAGAGCCCGCCCCTGGGGGTGAGTTTTATTCCAGGCACAGAATGTATTTCAGGGCCATAGTATTAGGAGTCTCACCAGACTTCATCTGACCAGTAATTCTAGTCATTACTGAGTTTTTGGATTTTGTTCCACGTTTTCCCTCTCACTCTATCCAGGATCTCCAGATTTTCGTTTCCTGAGTGGTTGGCATTGGTAGCCGGATATCATCCGGTTCTTCTGGTCTCGAAGGCCATTGTGTCCTAGGGTTAATTGCTTCTAAATGCCCCCTCCCTTTTTTTTATGCGTTCTTCTTCACTTCCGATGCTAGGAGACCATTAACTGCATCCTAGATGGTTGCATGAAAGCTTTTAAGACCCCAGTCGCTACTCACCAGTGTAGGATGTGGAGCAATGGTTTTATGTATTTTGTTGTGCCAACTGAGTCTGGTGTATCCCAGTACTATGGTCCTGAGGTAGTAGCTCTACTGGATCTCTCTCTCATAGTGTTGGGATGTCTGTGAGGGATTACTCTGTGTCTGTCTTCTATTGTTTCTATAAGGACTTCAGGTATTTTGTAACACTGATATCTGTACAAGATTAGCCTCCGCTGAGTCTATCCTTGGTCTAGAGTATACCTCTATTCACTGACCCCTGTCTGATCATCTGTATAGCCTAGTGTTTGGTGTTAATGGCAATGTGGTATTGTGGACACATTGGTTGGTTTTAGCACCTGTCGTGTATCTCTTATGAACATAGTTCGGTGTCCTCTCATTTCTCAGTGTTATCGTGGTGGTCATATATCCTTCCCGTATATCCCTCCCATTACCCATGTCAGCATGTAAGCCCTAACTAGCCCTAAATTAATCCCTCCCTTTCCCTCCCCATCCCGGTAACCTACGAGAAGCAAACCCTTCTCTGTCTTTTTACAGTAATGGGCTCTTACAGTACTTGTCCTTCTGCGGTTGACTTATTTCACTCAGCATAATGTCCTCCAGGTTCATCCACATTGCGAGATGATTCGCGTATCCCTCATTGTTCTTTAATGTGGCATAGTATTTCATTGTGTGGATATACCATAGTTTGGTTATCCACTCATCCGTTGATGGGCATTTAGGTTGTTTCCATCTCTTTGCTTTGGTGAATTGTGCTGCAGTGAACATAGGTGTACATGTGTCTGTTCGTGCGCTTTCACCTCTTTAGGATATATTCCTAGTAATGGAACTTACTAGGTCAAATGGTACTTCTATTTTCAGTTTTTTAAGGAAACGCCATACCATTTGCCACAATGGTTGTAACCATTTTACAATCCCACCAGCAGTGCACCAGAGTTCAAACTCTCCACAGCCCCGCCAGCATTTGTTACTATCTGATCTGTAGAACTTTGCTATTATTGCTGGGGTGAGATGATATCTCATTGTTGTTTTGATTTGCATCTCTCCAATGATTAATGATCATGAGCAATTTCTCATGTGTTTGTTGGCTGCTTGTATATCTTCTTTGGTGAAGTGTCTGTTCAAGTGTTTTGCCCATTTGTGAATTGGGTTATTTGTCTTTTTGTTGTTAAGATGTTAAAGTTTTCTGTAGATTTTGGAGATAAGTCCTTTGTCAGATATGTCATAGGCAGATATTTTCTCCAAATCTGTAGGTTCTCTTTTTACCCTTTTGACGAAATCTTTCGATGCACACAAGAATTTAATTTTTAAAAGGTCCCAGTCATCTAGCTTCTCTTCTATCTCCTGTACATTCTGGGTTCTGCTTGATAGTCTATTTATGCAATAAATTAGGGCTCCTAGAT